TATTTTACTCTAAAAAAATATGAAATTTTGATCAGACTACCTCATTTAAATCTTGATTTAAAAGAAAGAATTGATGCATTAGAAAGGCTTAGAAAACCACTAGGGGACATTCTGAGCTTCTGATTGGTTATTCATGTCATATATAGAAGTAAGTGTTTATAAGGGAGCATTTCCAAAAATGGAAGGAGATGAGCAGGGTGCCACTATGTTTGATTTACTATGTGAGCAATATCCTAGCAAATACAAAAGATAAGACCTTCTTATTTTATATTCTAGCTTGTCAATATCTGTAATTTGAGTTTCTAATTCGAAGAAAACTATAGACTTAGTATTTTGACTTCACAAACATCTAATTTGAACCAGTGCCGCATTCAGTATACCACGTGACACACAAAAATCGATGTTTGTCTGTGTTTTTTTTTTTATATTTACTTTTAAATTATGAAATTGAGTAATGTATAGTTCTAAAATTTGAATTATAATCTACGGTTTGATACTAAACTTATTGATATAAATTCCTGTAATAGTAGATCAATAAAATTTTGAATGTGAGTTAACGAATGAGATGACATGGCCTATCACCTGTGCCCCATATGGAAATGGTTAAACTGTATAACTATTTAATGTTGTATCTTTGTTTCCAATACTTTTAATATTTTACCTATTCACAAATGCTATTTAACTTAATTATTTAAGAAAGTGGTTCCATTTTGGAAGAGGGTCTGAATGAGGAGGATGACTAATGAGAAAATAAATCCCTAAAATAAGAGGGCAGCAAACGAACCTGGGATAAGGCCGCATTTCGACCCAGAAGATCCCAACAACAGAGAAACCATGTGGGGAAAAAACAAGAGCCGAAGATGATAATCTAGCCAATTTAGAGGTTTTCCCTCAAAAAACCATCAGGGTCTCACTGGATTGCTTCAGAAAGGAGATGGGTAGTAGATAAATACTGCAAAAGGGAATTAAGAGTGAGACGAAGGCATGAAAGCTGGGCATGGGTTAATTGCACAGGAAAATCATGGACTGCCCCCTATACAAATAAAATCTATCCCAACTGCTGAGAGTCAAGAAACAGACAGTTAGCCTGATGATCAGCTAATGCAAACTGATCTGTAGCCCATGGAGGGCGAAGAATGCTGACGAAGAATAAGAAGTAATAGTCTGGCAGAATTGAATAGAGAGAGTCACATGCATAATAAGATTATGTTGCATTCTTATTGTTACATAATGATTTGCATTAGAAATGTGTTGGAATCGGTGAATTCCAACTGAGGTGAGATAAAAGGCTTGTGGTATGTGTAAAAAATTTTTTTGCATATAGAGTGCAGCACTGAACGAGAATAATTATTTATGTGAGAAGAGGTAATGTACCATATCGGAAATCTGATATAAAACCTCATTGTAGACTACTTATAATGCAGAGCTCGTAAAGACAGGTTAATACCCATAATGATGGACTCAATGTGTTATTTTTTCCTGATGCCCTTTATCATTCTCCCTGATGTACCTTCAATAAATAATGTGTTTTGTGGTGACTTTTGTTACCTAGCTATACTCTTGCTGCCTTACTGTCCTCATTATCTACCCTGAAATACTAAAAATAGAAAGAATTTGATCATATGATTTGAGTGGTCTGTGCATAATTTATTTAGCCATGTCAAACCAAGTTATCTTTTGTAGCAAGACAAGGTGATCCATGTAGCTTAATTAAGCTTGAAACCAGGAAGACCATGTTTCAGGTAGAATTAATGGAAGGTGGGAATGAAATGCAAACTTTAAAAGTACGTATGTGAAAAATATTTTAAGATTATTTATTTACACAGATTTATTTTCCTGTTATTCTTTGATAGATTGTTTAGGCAGAGTATTCATGATGAAACTTTGTAGAATGGATGGCAACTGCCTCTTGTAGAGACACAAGTGTAGAGGACGACGTATCAAAAGTCTTCTGCCTTTCATCATCCTCTACACTTGTGTCTCTACAACAGGCAGTTGGCATCCATTCTACAAAGTTTCATCATATTTTCCTGTTAATAATACATGAACCATCACAACAATCCCACTAGAAAACTGTTTAAAATTATAGTAAATTGTCAGTTTGGAAAAAGGTTCTGTCTTACTCTTAACCTAAATGTTTTTTTAAATATCAATGTGTCATGGTAAGCAACATGAATCTTCTTTTTTTGCATTTGTGACTTTAGGAATTGTGAATTTTAATAGTGTGTGTGTTACATATAGTTACATTTAAATCTTTAAAAATATTTAAGTTTTTTTATAGATATATATGAAAATGGGAGTTTTTGGGTGTTTGTTCCTTCAATTTTCAGGAATTGATCCTAGGCCTTTTAAGGATGTATCAAGTGCTTTCTAAAGTTTATAAAGAGAACCTTGCACAAGCATAATCAAGACAAACAAATGCCCTATTAATAATGTTTGGCTTTAGCAGTATACTAACAGCTAATGAAAATATTTAATACTGTTAAAGGCAGAACAGTTTTCTTTATATTTATGAATTAGACATAATCCGTCTCAGTTTTTATTATTCCCAATTAAAGAATATCTTTAATTGGCATGTTTGTTTGGGTATGCATACATATTGTGCCACATGATGCTATCTACATTAATGAGCTCACAATCATAAATCTAAATTCTTCCTGGATTACTTATACCATCAGTGGAAAATACCTCACTTTATATAGATTATTAGGCTTATAACAGACTAAAAATTCAGCATAATATCAATAATAAAACTTGACTTCAGGTCATACATAATATTACACAATACTGCGATTTCAATGCAACACATTGTACACTTATGACTGGTAATCAATATTGAAAATGATACATACCAGCATTAATGAAAGGAATCCCATCAAATGGGACATATTGAGACTTCCACATTAGTCGAAGGGAGGAGCGGAGGGAAGAGGTAGACTGACGGGTTCCCCAGCTAGAATGTGTCAACTGTTTGTGATAGGCAAGGAGCAAATCTAATGCATCTTCAGTGCCAACCCAGCCACGATAGGAACTACCAATTTCCTAGTTTAGTCATAAAAATACTAACGATTCATGTATGTTTCAAAACTTATAATTTAATGTATGAATTTGACTACTTATCTCCATTTTCTATAGACAAGTGCACCCTAATTAATACCTTTAATATTTTAATTTTTTGTTTGGTAATCATTTTTTTATTTGAATAATAATTATTATTTATGAAATAAAAAAGATAAAGAATGAAAAAAAACATTAATGATCTGATATTCACATTCTTCTGTTCTTACTGGATCTGATCTTCAGTTCTAACTCATTGACTAGGTTTTAAATTTTGTTTTAATCTTTATTCTAATAGTCTAATGATTATATAAAGTGAATTAGTTTTAAATAAGATTCAATTTTTCAAATCATTATCAAAAACAGTTGCAACTTATTTTGAAAAAATAAAACAAATAATGCTGAAACATTTTCTTTTGTTCAATGCATACTATATTTACATTTAATGGGTAACTAATACATAAACTTTATTATATGAAATTAATCACTAATCAGAACTGAAAACCAAATCAAGCAATTTAGCTTGATCCTTTTCCTACAGACACTGATAAAAGAACTGAATGTAAAGTTTCTTTACCTCACAGTCATTCATTCTCTGTACCCAAGATGGAGCATCAGGTAGCGAGGGTTTTGTTAAAGGTGTAGTTGCAAGCAAAGAACAAAGGATACTTGACTTTGAGGGTTCAGAAGTTACAGTACACATGAGAGTTCTAGAAACTGGGTCTATGCAAAAAAGTGAGCGAGGCAGTTCAAGTATCAACTGCTATTTCTTTGTAAACAACCTTTTTAAAAATTCTTAGTCTTTGATAAATTGTGTAACATAAATTGTAAACATTTCGGAAATTTTAGCCAAAATGGCTTATTACTTTATATACTCTATACAATTAATTAAATAGAAATTCAACAAATAGCATTCACTAGCCAAGATAGTTTATATTAAAATTTTAATTTATTTACAAACACAAATTATTTTATAGATATCATGTTTTCCACTTACATTTCAGCTAATTCTTTACAAAGCTGATACACTAAAGTTAACATTTTCTACAATGAAAATGTATTTTCGATAGATACTTACCTCCTTTAACATAATAGCTTTTCTCTTGACTTGTGCTACCCTCTATATGCACAAATTTTGTTCACCACTAGCCTTGGCACTCTCATCTACCCTCTTGTGTTTAAACATGGTATACTTGCTCTGTAGCATTCAAATAAGATATGACAACCCTTCACTAATAGGAGTGTGATACATCCCCTGAGTGCAACTGACACCCTCTATACTGTAGAGCATCATAACTTCGAGATTAGGTAAAAAAGAAATACCAGAAGTGGGAGGATAGGTGGGAAGTGTGAGCAGAAGTAAGTAACTATTGGAAATACATTTTCAATGTAGGAAAATGTTAATTTCCAATACAATACCTAACCTCCACTCATATAACAGCTAGAATCCCATACTAAAACAATGAAGAGACTGATACAAACGTTACTTAAATGATCCCTCTTCAGAAGTTGCCCAAATTGAACCCATGGAGTTTGATATCTTAAAGTATGGGGTCACACTCATGGGAGACCGCATCCCATCTGTACCAAGTATATTCTTCATCTGTTGTAAAGATAAGTGTTGCTAAATAGGGCAGAAATGATGCATGGCCAAATGGTGTAGAGTGGCTAGGGTGTATCAGACTGTATTCAGTGGGTCAACTCCAATCCAAAATCAAATGGCAATGGGTACTTATCTTCCGGTCCAAACTGCCTTCACCTCAAGACTAGAAAGTAGAAGGGAAAATGACTTCCATTATGCCATCCCAACCAAGGCACGTGTGCAGACCCAGTACACAATCAACACTAGTCCACCCGGGTAAATGTAGGAAGGGGGATGCAATGTAGTGGGTCAACTCCAGTCCAAAACCAGGCATCATTTGTTTGTTCTGTGGTAGGAGAAGGGTCCCTACCAATCACAGGTGTGAGGACTTCTGTTGGCCAGTCCTATGCTGATCCAACACCAGACTACCTGGGAACTGACATCCAGGCAGTGGTAGGATGGGGGGAATCCAGTCATAGGGGTGAACTGCATGTGATGGATTCATCAAGTACAAAACCAGATTGCTTCAGGTATTTTTCTTCCGGTTCACAGTAGGAGGAAAGTACTCATCATCTACACCAACAGAACCCTACCATCCTATTCTCGACTGAGTGGAATTGGCCACACTCAGGAGGAAGCATCCATTATCCACCACCCCAGGGTTAGGAACCGGTAAGTGGCAAGGACTCCTGTACTCCAATGGAAGAGGGGGAACAAATGTGGTGGAGAGTCTAAAGACAGTGCAATGGGTGACAACAAAAGCCCTGTTATGAAAAGCAGGCAGATTCCAATTAATTCAACCAGGATATGGACAGAGATCCCAGCATTATTTAACTCATGATAGTCCATGAGTTGGTATGGTCTGGTTTGGGCCTTATTTACAAAGCAAGAAAATGTGAAGCAACCTTTAGTGGTCTTGTGGAATGCTCCATCTCTTCAGTGAGCTTTATAGACCAACATAGCTATATGGTGCAGATTTATGTTGAAATATACCAGAGCAGGCACCACATCCCACAGAGTGGGATTGAAGAATTAAGAAAAAGGCCTCTGTAATGTTAAGAAATAAAAAATAAATAACTTACCCTCTCACAGTCAATGTAAGGTGTAGAGAATTGCGACAGGTGGCAGGTGAAAGCCAGATGAGAAGGAGACAGCAAAATGATGCAAGTAGTAGGCTATAAAAGCCCGTAGAATCTCCTCTAACAGGCGATAGAAGTTGGCAGCCATAGAGAAGGTGAGATGATGTATTTGGTAGGAGAAGACATGAAAAAAGCAATGGTAAGCCTCAGATAATAATGCAAGAGCAAGCTGAATAACTTGCCAAATCCATCCAGTAAGGGTAACAGGAAAAAGATCCTGGGTAGATGAAGTATTCCATGGTATAAATAGGTGAAAATAGATCCACAGAAGGAAGCAGTGCAGGCAACATAACAATGTATAGCATATACTGGAGAAAGAAGGTGATCATGATCAGCATGGGAATACAAATGAGAGATGGAACGAAGGGAAAAAGGAGTAAAATTGATGTCATCATTTCACACTGTTGACATTTTGGGGAAAAACTATGATTCATATAAAGGAGAACATAGGTATGGTGATACAGGATATGGGAGACATTGATACTGAAGATAGCTGTTCTACAATGTTCACATGCAAAAAGAAGCAAGAAATATGCCTTTAGTGAAAGGTGGTACAATGAGTAAGTGACCAAAGGTTCAAATGGAGCAAGGGTAAGGGCATGATGGACCACATTGAGATTCCTGTCAGGCAAAGGTAGTGGATGAACTGCAAGAAGTTCCAATAGGTTGATGTGGAGGGAAGATTCAATCAGTGTCCAATGACCTGCAATCTCCTGAGAATCTATGTATGCTCCCCATCCCACAAGAGAGAAATATGTGTGAACATGTGCAAATCTGGATGGGGAGGAGGTAGATGAAAGCCAGCTGATGTGTTGTCTCTGTGTAGTCACCAAACAAAGTCTAATTGGAGGGAAGGAGGGAGAAGGATGATGGAATCATCGGGATCCTAAATAAGATTCCATTGATCATGCAACACTCAATGAAGACCATGTATGTGTGCACAACCTCAGGGTATAATGGATTCTTTGGACATCCTGGTCCCCAAAAGAGATAGAACCTCGCAGACAGGGAGAGAAGGAGAGGATTTGGCTCTGAAAACCAAGAGCTCCATAGATCTCAAAGGAAGAGGAAAAGACTGGGCCCTGCTGAGGAAAGTGTTAAAAACACACCCAAATTGATCTGATACTGCATGGAGTTGAGATAGGATGTTTTCAGCTTGACAAGCCATCCAACAGAAGAGAGGGAGGCTTGTTGGGATGGAGCTAAAAGGAGCCAGTCATCCATGTAATGATGGAACTGCAAACTGTGGTCATGAAGATGGATGGCAAAGGATCTGACCACACAACAAAAGATGGAAGGTTCTGATGTCAGACCAAAAGATAGAGAGCAGAATTGGAAAACTTGACTTTGTGAACCAAACAAAGGTAACATCTGAAGGATGGAGAGACAGGGATATAAAGGTAAGCATTTGATAATTTGACCTTCATGATACAGAAACCAGAAGTGAATGCCCACTGAAGTGGGAGGAAAGACTCCATGGTGAACAATGGGAGGTTGATGAAGCAGTTGATGTTGGATAAATTGATGACAGGATGCCAATCCCCAGTGTTTTTGGGAATCCCAAACAGCCAGGAATAGAACTCTGGAGATGGGTGATGTACTTGTTCAATAGCATCCCTTAGAGATGCTGGCATGGAATGGGATCCTGTGGAGGAGGGAAGGAAATGGGATGTGTGAATAATGAGGGGGTGGAGATAGAAAAATGAATGGAGAGTACTTCTGATAGATTTTGAATAACCCAGGGATCTGTGGCTGAAAGCACAGCATTGAGCAATTTGGCAATTAGTCTGGGAAGAAGGCATTGGTAGAGGAAAGGAAGCAGGGAGCAAGACACAGGAATTGAAGCAGGAGAGGGCTAGGAAAGATGGGAAACCAAGGAAGAAAGGGAGGAATGTTGACATGCGGCCTCCACCCTAGACTCCAATATATCAAGAAGATCCCAGAATTTAGAGTGGCACAAAAAATGGAGGTCTCTTAAATAGGAACAGGGAGATTCACACGTGTCAAGAGGGTGTCCCTGCTAAGAAGATTCCATCAACAAAAATGCCATGTATGAAGAGATAAGGCTGAGGAAAATAAATGTGCCAACATGGAAAAGAGAAGGGTATGCATATCCCAACCAAAACCCATAAGAGAAACAGTAGATAGCCTCCAACAAGAGGTTAATGGAAGAAAGATAACAGAGGACAGTTGTGAGGGTAAGCCAAAGAAGTGAAAACTGGTGTAGAAAAAATCTCAGTGTAGTTTCCAGATCAGATCCCCACACTTGAATCAAAGACTTCAAGGTTTGAGAGTCCAAGTATGGAAAATCAACCTATGATAAGCCAAAGTATTGGAGTCAGATAAATGTGGAAGACGAGGCATGTTGGAACCCAAATGGATTTTGGGTTAAAAATCAATCAGCATGAATTTGTATATCAGGATAGGGAGGAAAACCAAATAATCTGATGAAAGTGTAGAATGAAGAAGGGAGTGGAAGAATCATAAGACACAGGGGAAAGTGACAAAAGGTAACATACCTGGGAAATCATGTCCAAAAAAAAGTGAACAAAGGACAAGGTAAGTCCAAATGATAGCATGGGACTGTACTGCAAAGAAAGGAGATGGAAAAAGGCTGTCCAAATCCTCTTCATCCTGACCAGATTCACCCAGGAACAGGATACCCAGCTGCATTTCTGGAAACATAGCAGGCAGCATGATAGTTTCCAATTTGTGACGTACCATGGCTGAGACCTCCTCATCGGAAAGAGTCGATCAGAAAGCCACAGAAGTAGTAGGTGAATCAGCAGTGGCCAGATTCACTGCAGAAGTTTTTGTAATGACATTAAAGTGAGAATTCATGGTGTGGAAATTAAAAAGAAAAATATTCCACAAAAAAATAAGTATGCAGAAATGAAATGACAACATATTAAGTTGTCACAACACAATAAAGTTAACCCAAATTGTCACACAAGAATGAGAAATGCAGAGCAAAAAATGAGCATGACTGTACACTGGAATGCCAAATTGAGAAGTGATGATAATGCTTTACAGTATAGAGGGAGTCAGCTGCACTAGGAGGGTGTGTTACACTCCTATTGTTGAATTTTTATTTGCATGCTGCAGTGCAGCTATATCATGTGTAAACATATGAGGGTAGGTGGGAGCATCAAGGCTAGTGGTGAGCAAAAATTGTGCATATAGGGAGCAGCATAAGTCAAGAAAAAAGCTAATGCATGGGTGGAGGTAAAAATGTATAGCAGAAATAGCTGGTACGAGTATGTTATACATTTTTACTTCAAGTGGGTTTCTCATCATCATGGATGAGTGGAGGTAAGGTATTGTATTGGAAATCTCCAAACAGGATAACAAGTTTAAATTGAATGAGATTTTTGTCTAAAATGCATTATTTAGGAAAAATAATTTTTTTTTAAAGGAAACGTGTCTGAACAAATAGAAAAAACAAACTTAATTTAAACAATTTTTATTTATATTAAGCAATCAATTTTCTCACACTTCTTTGTAAATTGAACACAAGTTCAATACAAGAACTCATCAGCTGGCCTGAATGATAAGATAGAATAGATGAAAGGAAACAGAAAGGACAGATCTGAAAAATTTATTTTAATACATCTCTAATTTGAAATCCAAAACAGAAAAACTAAGTAGAATGTGAAAGAAAAACACCTGTGGTTTATATGATTTTTCTTGTAAATGTTAGACTTACTATTTATTTCTGTGACTTTAGTAAAGAGACCTAGCCTGCTTCTTTTACTACCACCTTTGATGACTCTAGTTGTGTAAAGGAAAATTCAACTTTTCCTTCCAAAATCATACTCAATATATAAGCTACAATAAAAAATCACTTTCAGCTTTATGGGAAGTACAATTTATGAATTATTAAAAAAACTGTCAAATCCCCCAAACTCTGTAGCATTCATATTTTATTATTCCTAACCATTACACTAAACTGTTAGTTACCCTAAACAAATAAATGCTTGAAAAAAAAGCTGAAATCCAGATCAGAAATTAAAATAATTAACTCCTAATTAAAAAACAACTTAAAATATGCAACTAATATTGACAAGATAGTTGTGTTTTCTATACTTAGAACTATTTGAGGTACATACAATATAATGCATGTATGAGTGAGATGTTCTCCTCTGGCTACATATTACAGTGCTCTCATGACACTCTATCTCATGTTTTCGAAGTGTGTATGTGGCACTAATCTAAATATCATGAGTATCAAAGATCTTAATACAGTAATGCATTTACTCTAAAACCTTTCATCCTCTAATTAAAAGTTTCTGACAGTTTTTCTTATATCAATAGATATGCACCACTGTTTTGCTACTCTTTTCATTCACCATCTTACCAAAGACATTTAAAAAGTAAAAACAGTAACATAGTAACATATAGTAAAACTACTATATAAACTGATCAGATATGCAAGAGTAAGGAAAATCACATTCTGGACAAACAAAAGAAAAGCTTTAATGAAAACATTCTGATGCAATCTTATTAAAAGCTATCTTTATGATTGAAGAACTAACCTGAAGGTACAGAGGATTCAACTGTGTTTAAAGAGGCTGTGGGTGTTGATTTCAGTGGAAGTTCGACAAAATTAGTGACATCTTCTACTGTACTGGCTGATGGGGATGATGTGTCTACTGGAAGGTGAACAAGGTGGGTGACTTCTTCTACTGTACCAGCTAATGTAGATGAAGTCTCTATTGGAAGATGGACAAGATGGGTGACTTTGTCTACTATACCAGCTGTAGTAGATATTGTCTCTGCTGGAAGATGTAGAAGGTGAGTTGCTCCTTCTAATGTGCTAGAAGGCATGGATGGTGTCTCTGTTGGAATATGGACAAGGTGGGTGACTTCTCCTATTGCTCCAGATGATGTAGATAATGTCTCTGTTGAAAAATGTCCTTGATGGGTGACTTCCTCTGTTATAGCTGTTGTGGATGATGCTTCGGTAGGAATTTGGACAAAATGGGTAGCATCTCCTATTGCCTCAGCTGGGATCATTTGCAAAATATGTCCACATAGACCACTAGAATAAGTAATAGTTCCATCATCTGCAGCAATCACATTGACCACAACACCTTTTAGACTTTGGACAGAGTCTAGAGTTAGAACTGTTCTTTCTTGATCATGAAGGATCTGTAATGGATGCAGTGTGACATCCTCACCAACTGACTGAACAATGTGAACTTCTGCAATGACAGACAAATCCAACAGTTATCACTACTCTATGTCTCACTAATTTCACTATTGTCTTAGTTAATAGACTTGACATCAATCCTTAAGTTTCAAAAGCATCTGACCATATCCATTGCCGATAATGTGTTTTGCTCAATCCTGAGCTCGTCAGGCTGCCTGGGATATGACAAACATAGCAGTGGTAGAAACAGTATTGATATAAGCCATTTGTTACAACAATAACTGTTATGGTGTGAATGATCTTTTCAAGCTGGCAAAGAATGATTATAACTATTGTTGTTGTAACAACTGACTTATATAAATAGTATTCCAACCATTACTGTGTTTGTCATGTTCTAGTCATCCTGATGAGCTCTGGATTGAGTGAAACTCTTTGACGGCAATGGGTATGACAAACTGAATTGTTCAAACATCATTATCATACACTTATGGACAAGGTGTCCCAAAAGTCTGGACCCATAAGGAAAATAGACATTATATTCTTAAAGTTAAACCCATTTCTAATGTCAATTGTACATATTTAAGTAAAGAAAATACCCTGACAACACTGTACACCAAGAATTGATATGTGTATGGTTGTTAATGGCATCAATTTGAATAATAAATAACTAAAGAATAACTTGTGTATTTTTCCCATGGGTCCAGACTTCTGGGACACCCTGTATAATTAACCCCACTTGTCTCAATATTCTTTCTTAGTTTCTTAATAACTTCAGTGTTTATCTCTAATTTTCAATAATGTCTTACTCAATGTTTCAGCTGGCCTAAAAAATGTTTTAGCTATTTAGCTATCATAAAATTTTTTTGCTATATGTGCACACACTGAAATGGTGGAGAGACCAGTCCATCAAAAAGTGTTCAAAGGGAAAGCCCATGCAGTGTGACACTAGGAAATAAACACACCCTGGCAGGCAACACCAGCCACCTGGTGAGATCCTATAAGGTGATAAAAAAGAAAATGTACTTACCATTCTCAAAGAATAGTGAACCAAGGAAGTAGAAATCACACAGGAGATGAAATTGCCAGATGATAAGAGACAACTGTGTGTGACTTTGCCCAAATGTCAGCCTGAATTATTTCGTCCATGGATCGCCAAAAATAAGAGGCAAGAGAGTGAGATAGGTGATGAATCTGATATGATGAAATGTGAAAAAGCCTGCAAGCATCAATATTCAGGGAACAATACACCAACTGGATGAGTTGGTGGACCCATTCAATAAGGATAGAGGATGAGAGGTCCCTGGACAAAGAGTGATCCCAAAGCAGAAACAAACAATGATGGTAACTGTTGGATGTACAAGACAGTTCATCTTAAGAGTTATTATTTAGTGATTTAATATTTAATGATTATTTACTTTTCATAAAGAGTGTTAAAAGTTAATTATTTTGAAATTGATAGTTATGACAAGCTTTGTTGCATGTATGTAGTAACTATTGTATTAGGCTTTTGTTGCCATCATCTTACTCGAAGCTTCTAAGTCTTTCTCATTTGTTTAATATTGTTGTTATTAAAAGGCTAGATATTTCTAGATTTATCTATTGTGTGTTATAAATACAGGCAGATACAAAAGTAAGTTAAGTTAGTGAAAGGAAAAGTGTAAAAAGTGAACTTAGACTGTGTGATTGTATGTTTAGCCATAATGAGCAATTTATAAAGTGAAAGTTTCACAGTTTGTATTGTAATAACAGAGATGAAGAAGAATTTGTCTTGCAAAAGGGTGTTCTAAAGTAATTGAACCTGCCTGTGTGGACTTTGATGAAAAAGATAATTATTTAAAGCTCTAGATTTAACTATGATTACCAATAATGTAACAAATTTTGTTTGTACATATGTTTATCTTGTTTTGAATATATTATTTTAAAACAAGCGGATTGTGTGCTGTCCGTTTATTGTTGAAATATATTGGCAACAAGTAACAGACACCTACTGTAAAGAATTCCAGTCTATCCACACCCAATAAAAACCTGACAGGAACTGTAAAAAAGGAGAGGTACATCCCAAGTAACACCAACCCAGACACAAATGACAATTCAGGTCTGAATGAGCATAGAGGTGAGAAATCAAAGGGAGAGAGATAAGAGAGAATAAATGATTACCTTCCCAAGCCACTGAAGCCTTTCAAAGAAAAGTTCAGTCTTGGTAGTGGAATAAATATGTACAGTAAAAGAGAGTGTAGGAAGCATCGATATAGACAAAGATATCTGAAAAACAGTGATCACAGTTGAGAAAAAAAGGAAGTATATCTTCAGAGAAATATGATATAAAGAATATGAAGTCAATGGCTCAAACAGAGCAAGTGTGAGAGCATGTAAAACCACATTAAGGTCCCAGTCAGGCATAGCAATAGGATGAGGAGGTCTGTGAAGAAGGAATGAGTGAAACAAAGTGGAGAGGACAGGGAACAAAAATACCTGGCAGTCATGATAAAGGGAAAATATAATTGAAAAGCTGCCCAATAACCAGTGATGGTGGAAACAGATAATCCATGGCTGAAAAAACATGTAAAAAGGCCAAAAGTGGGCCATGGAAAGATGGTCTGTAAGGAAGAGAGTGCAGGATGGACAAGCATTATAGCCATACATCACTAATGCATGAGAGGTTTATTAAATCTCTCTTGCAATGTATGGGCAAAGAATTAGAAGTGGAAGAGATTGATGGGTCAGAAAATGGTGATAACACTGTAACTATCTCAGTCTAACTGATTGTGAGGAAAATGACACAGTTACTTCTCTAACAAAATGTAAAACTGTTCATCTTTTTCAGGATACTGGTTGCCGAGATGAAGCCAACCTCTTAAGTTGATGTACTTAGGGCAATTGATCAGCAATTAACATAGCTAGTAGATCTCAGTGAGAAAAGAGTGTCACTTTACTTAATTTCTGAGCTATAGAGTGAAATTTCACTGTACTATATCTACAGGATATTTTATGTTACCCAGTTGATTACAGTTCTTTGGATTGTTTTTTATCACAGGCTACAGACGTACATGGCTAAAAAAGTCAGAATGTCAAAATGGCATAGTGTTCTTTATGTTCTAAGCTATAAACTGGACAATGTGTGGTGACTCTGTGGAGTATGGCACATGAGATTTACTAGTTATGATAGATTAGATAGTTAGATAAAGCACATATAACACTAACAGTTGGTGTGACTACTAATGTCAAAACAAATTCTAATGCACCCATCTTTCAAGTGTTTCACTAGATTTGATCAAAGTATTTTTCTTGTGATGCCGACTGTAGTGGATTTTGCAACCCACAGATGTACAGTAGCAGACAGCATATTTACAGTTGTTGGTTGCTCATTAGAATAGCAAATGTATTTTTACATTCTCCACTGTATCTGCTCTATGTTGGTTTGTGTACATGTTAGCACATAGGGATGTAGTAATGTAAGGCATGACTACAGATTAGTAACTGACTAGAAATGATGATAATTGTTATCATGGTGACTGTGTATAAGATAATTTAAAGTATTTGTATTTCATTGGAGAGATAAAAATTGCTGTTTAACCAACACTGCATTAAATGAAAAAACAACAAAAGTTTTTGAGAAGAACATGTTAAATTTTGAAGTATTGGAAAATTTTCATTCTTATAAATTTGTTTGAATAAGGTGGAGTTGCATTTTAATCCTTTCGCAATGGGTGGGTCTAACTGCACGTCATGGTCTATTATCAATTTATTTTCAAAACTATATTATTACTACATATCAATGAAATTGGCATCAAACAATTGCTTGTATTTCAAATTTTAATATTATGTATGTTTTAATTTTTTAATTCAAAAGAAAATATAAATAAAATAAAGCTAAATATCGATCTGTGTATGTCACATAGCACCTCCTCATGTCTTGTTGCTCAGTTTATATTTTTTTATGCCTACTATATACATCTACAAGTGGTTAACAAATTATAAACTTGAATTTTTAAATACTGGCAAGCTAGGATATAAACTTAGAACCTCCCACCACTTTGATTTGCTGAAAAATCAATGTATCTAGCAAATCAACTGAAGTGGCACCTCGTTCTACTCCATTCTTTCCACACCTCTTTTTTAGTTCCACCTACTTTTCTTAAGGGTCTGTTTATAACCAATAGAAAGAACAAGTTGTGCTTTACATGATGCTGACAGTTGTTTGTAAAGAGCTTGGAAGAGAAAATAATAATTTCTGAATGGAGATAAAAATGTTTTTAACATATATATACTTTATTTATAAACCCAAGTTACAGATGTTTTGGGTGTACTAGTAGAGTAATGTAATATATTTTTTTATTTCTAAAATGTATATTTGAAGCCTACAAAAATTATATTTCTTCACCCTCCACTCGAAAAAATAAACGAGGCTTAGCACTAAAGGCACACGATGTCAAAATATTTTCCTATCACTGTAATTTCTCGTAAGTATTAGAAATCATTGGTTTTCTATGTAATTTTCATTTATTGTTCAAGTTTTAAGAAAAATAGCTAAAATTTAAGCACTTATGAGTAAATATATATATATTTAATGTATGGTAGCCGAAATATTGGTAGTACAGTTAGATTTGTACTTTGTATTTGATTCTGTGTGTGTATATATATATATATATATATATATGTGTGTGTGTGTGTGTGTGGATTATAAATGATTATTACTTACTTTAAGGAAAGAGTCAGTAACAACTCAATGTGTTTCACAACTGTAAGGAAACATCTAAACTACACCTTAGCTGCAAAAGTAAGAATATTTTCCAATGAAGATTAGAGTTATAATGCTTGCAAAACTAAATGAATGTGATAATTAGTACTGAAACCAAAGTTTTTATTGGTTGATGAATAAGTGCTGAAAAGGTAAATAGGATTTTATTTATAAGCATGTGCTCAAATAACATTTTTGTATACTTGTGCCATTAAATTCCAAACACCCCAAAAGGATTACCAGTATTCAAAAAATTGCAATGTTTATTATATCAGCACCAAACCATATAATAAATGTTTTGACAGGTTCAAAGTGCAGTGATGTTATTCTTGAAAAGTCATGTTGTGAAGACTGTAGGATACATACATAATCTGATAAATTACACATCCTGTTGTCGGCATAAATGTTTTCACTAATTTTAAGTGTAGTGTGATAACTCTGAATTTTCCAAGAAAACATTTTAGCACATATAATCCGATACATTAGTCATCCTATTCTTGGAGCAAAGGTTGAGTTGACAATCTTTTTGTGTGTGCTTTGGAGCTTTCAGGAGTATTGTATTATGGTGGTGTCACGTAAACAGTCTACTGACACAAGCAGCGATTTATTGGTTTATTTTCAGCGGGGTTCTACTTTAGTCATTGATAGTAAAATGAACACAAAAAATAAATGTGAAATGTTTAGCAGTTCAAACTCATATGAGAAGTACTTTGAAACTTGTGACCAATAATAAAAGGAAAAAAAGGCACAGCTGCTCCTTTTATTTCTAATTTTACAACTTGTCTTTTTATTATACTTTCGGGATTTGTCTACAGGCTGATGACTCAAGTATATCATTAAATAACTGATAAGATATAGTTTTACTGAAAACAAATGTCTGAAATGTATTTAGGTTTTAAAGATTACACAAAAGAAATTTGAGATTTTTGTAATGAAGAATAGTATTTTTAATCATAACATGAAAATAACTTCCACTCAGACTAGTAACAAAACAAACTCTATATATTCATAAACAAATCTTTAGTAAAAATACTTATTAAAAAATTTGATTTTTTGTGTACAAAAAAAAAGACTTGTAATGTTTACTAAAGGTATAGTAAATTTTGTGAAGATGTACATACTGAATTAAAAGTTATAGTATAAATAATTAACATGTGCAAATGTGTATATGAACTCTTGTATATTATACCGAGCCCACAGAAAAGGGTTAATAACTTATTTCACATTAATGAAAGATTTGGAGTGTTCAATATTTTAGTTGGTTCTGACAAGAAACTGTTCAATTTTTAGAAAAGAAACAAGAGCTTGCAGAATTTTTGCTAATCATTTTCTCAGTATTTATTTCCTGTGTAAATTAGAGTTTTGAAAACATTTTAGTGGTTAGAAATATGAGTACATCACCATGGTATTACTTAGTTTTATCTAAGTTATATTTAACCTGTAATATAGGTTAATTAATGTTAAAATGCTAGCCCTGTTCTAATTGGCCACTCAAAGTCAGAAGCAACGGCAAGAGATTGTAAAGCCATTCCCCTCTTGAATAAGGTTTTTGATATGGCAACCAGACAATGGTGGAAGACCTCAAGTGCAAGCTAGGTAGAAATGCCAGCTGGCAGCAGTATCTGTCACTAGGAAATGTGTTGGTTGTTTCAGATGCCTGAATTGACAAGTGAATATACCACAACCACAAGATGGAACAATAATCAATTTTTGCCTCATGTCTTCTCACAGAATGTTTGTGGAAAAAAACCTGGGTGGAATCATTCAGGTTTCAACATTTAACCCTATGGTGCTGACTGAACTTTTGAGCTATTAAATGCCTAGTTGATATGATATCTTCAATCTTGACTTGTTATTAAAGGCCAAAAGTGTGGTCAGTTTAACCTATCTTGATTTCCTGAAGTGATTAACTTGTGAGTTGCCTTACTAGCTACTATCTAATATTATGAAAGATGACTTCTTACTGGCTGAAAGGGAATAGAATGCTTTAATATGACTACCTGTCAATGTGAAGGAAGATTTGGCAACCTTCCACCACCAACTGTTGCCACCTCTTTAAAAGTGAGCCACAGCCCAAATCCAAAAACTACCAAGAGTTGAAGACAGAAAAAAAAAGTATCCTGTCAAAAAGTACAAAATCAGAGAGGCATCATGGCCCACCTTTGATATAACAACAAAATACTCAATGCTAATCATAATAAATTTTCCCTGTGATTAAGTCTCAGAAGAAGAAGAGGAAGTGCCTTTCTTCTGAGGATTATGAGACTCCCATTATCACCATTTTAAAATTCACAACAGGCATTGTCAAAACCTGCAGGGTCCCAAATGCTTCTCTACTGACAAAAACTCTGAAGTGGGAACAATCAGAATAAATTTTAAAATTTTATTTATATATTCAAATGTAAAATAGTAGATCATCAAGAACAGTGAGGGACTTTTGGTTATTGGGAGACATCTGACAAATGGTTTCCTTGGCCATGCTGAGATACTTTCTTGGCTCTGGCCAGATCTTCCTGAAGTATTCTGTTTACTGGGTTGCTCTGAATCCATTAAGAACATTCTGACTTGTTATTTTCTTTTTACAGTGTGGCCCAGCCCTTTTTTCTATTGAGTACCTATATGACATATTCACATAATGATACTTTGCAATGTCATATTTGAACATTGTAACCTGTGGTCATGTCTTTAATAATGGAAAATTTAGCCATGAGACTTATATATAGATAAAACTGTTTTCATTTCTATGTTAAAGAGTATTTTGTATATGTGCAAGTGTATTCTATGTGAAAAGGGGTTATTAATATAATAAACATTAAAGGGCTTGTTTTTATTTACATTAGATGTTCAATATAAGTGCCATAGTATATTGCATTGGTTTAAGAGTATGATAAAAAGATAATTAAAAACTGTTAATTTAAAATGGAGAATAGGGATTGTCAAAAAAGTACAGAAACAAGTTGAATCAAAATGCAAAAATTATATTTTCAAGCCTACAATTAGGGGCTCTAAAAAAAAGTAAACACACTAGGCTGGAAACAGTGTCTAATTATGTCTACAGTACTTATTAATAGAAATGTGTAGTTTGAGAAAATAATGTAGACACTATTTCCAGCCTAGTTTGTTTACTTTTTTTTCAGAGTCTCTAGTTGTAGGCTTGAAAATATAAACTTTGCATTTTGATTCAACTTGTTTCTGTACTTTTATGAAGATCCCTGTTCCCTTTTTAAATTAACAATTTTCAATTAAATTTTAAGCTGCATATGCTTAAGGTTAAGTGCTATGATTTATAATTAATCAGAGTGTGAAAGGGTTGTATTATTAATAAAATTTTATGATAATTTACAAAGTTAGGTTTTTTCCTAACTTCTTATGTCAAGGTTATATTGATTAATCAAATGTTTGAAATTCAGTTGTGTCACTTGTTCCTCTGGAATATAGAAAACTTTGAGGTGACTTACTTTATGTTTTAAACTTGAGCTTGAACAACCTGCTTATGGCTGGTTTGTTGGAGTAGTACATGCAGAATTAAAAACTTGGAAACACAAGTAACAAGTTTAAACCATGGAAGCCTAAATCCAGAGACACAGTATACACCTCAGGAATAATAATGTAATAAGTAGTCTGTTCATTTACATTCTTTAAACCTTTGTTAGATAGCTAAAATAATGTAATGGAATACATTTAGTTTTGGATATGATGGCTTGTCTGATTGTTTGAGTGATCTCAATGAGCTAAATGGTCTTCTATTAACCTGATCATTCTTACATTAATAAAAAAACAACTATTTACCTGTTAATAAAAAAGTGTTTATAAATGTTCAGGGAAAAATCTTGATAGTCATTAGCAGTTATGCTAGAAAGATAAAGATGATCCATACCTTCAGGTGACTTCTTTGGTGAACCAGAATAAAATGATGCCATGATAATGCAAGTATTCTCTTCTTATAAGCTCCATCTCATACCTTCTCTGACAAAATAAAAATATAAAAGTTAGGTAACTACTTGTTAGTTTTCCACTACAAAACAAAAGAAACGTAAATGGTCACTCCATGCTAACCATATTTCTTAAATTTGTAAATGACAGTACTTTCAAAATGAGCTTAGATGTAACATATACATTAAAAAGAGCTTAAACTTGTATGTCTAGCACTCTTTAAAGCAGGGGTCATATCATTCAGTAATATGTTTCTGGTCATCATCTACAGAAAGTTGAGTATATTTATATTACAACAATTCTGAATATGCAGGTCAGGAAGTCATATGATACCCAAAGCTGATATAAAGTTGTGGTGGAGCATAATGTATCAGAACTATATTTTGACATTGTTTAGAATTTTGTGGGTAGTATGATGCCACCAAAAATGAAAATTTGTTGTTTTTGAAAAGGATGTGTAATAGTCTTTTCTGACATAAAATATTTGTACACTACAATCATAAAGAGGTGCTAAGACAGGGGATTTTACAATCCTTACACTTGATTTCATTGGAAAACAAAGGAATATGTATAAACTTGGGGCACCATGATCATCCAGAAAGAAACCCAAATCAGGCTGTACTCTATTCGTAGCAAGCAAAGTGTTATATCTTGTAACATGTAAGAATTGATGAACACAAATATCTGAGACAAAACTATCCATATGCAACATATTCAGTCAACAATGGTATATCTCAAGAACTGGAAAACTAAATGGGTATTCAAGCTATTCTATATGAAGACAAAACTGCATAAGTCACTGGATACAGTACTTATAGATTTCTGTGTACTTGGACTGTTGAAACAGGTTTTGGGAACCATTATCCCCATACACTAGATGGGTTATGAAAAGTTTGCAAGCAGAAGGGGTGTACTTTAGACATGACAACTTTAAAATGGAGAATATTGCAATGGATGCTATGTTGTATGGCTATTGTCAAGATGCAGAGTTGCAGACAAAGCATAAATGGACGTAGTGACATGGACTATAATGGCATGATGAGGGTCCAAAATCATTTTAATATAACATACTCTACCCCTGTATTAACTCTGTAAACCCATAATTTCTTGTTAATTCAGCCAGAATTATTTTGATGATGTCCAAATAATTAACATCATACCTTATAAAATTTCTGGTCTATTTATAAAAGTTGGATAAGAACATGGTTTGGATTAGTTTTCAGCCAAAGAGATTTAAATGTTATCGGATGCTGTCATTGTCTGATGGGTAAATCTGGATTTTCGGACGGATGTTGGCAGTGTCTCCTCAAGTTTAAGGAGTTAAATTAAAACACAAATTACAATTTTATTTTAAAATGGTTAGATAAGTTGTTGATATTTACCTGTATCATAACTATTACCTTTTTTGAATTTTTATTTTACAACGATATTCTCACACACATTAAGCTGGTGTAATTTATTATATCCATTATACTCCTCTACAAAATTCTTGTACACCTAGTTCATATATAGTTTGGATCTTTAAGGAGCCCCATAAACTCTGCTGCTTGCTCCAGAACATTATACCAGGCAATCTATGACCCAGCATGCAAAAAAAACTTTTAAGCATAAATACTTACTATGGTTCACATTATTCTTTGGATTTTTTTGTGAAAGAGCACTCTTAACCATGATTAATTTACATTATGATCAGTTGAATCTAGCACCTGTATGAGTAGTGTAATGGGTCAAATATTGGCAGTCTTCCCCTAGAATGGATATATACTCAAAGCACCACATTATTATGATTGTAAAAGCATGTGTAAGAAATAAGAGGTACTAGGCATATATTTATTTAGAAGGCTACTGCTACTTCAGGCAGGGGTCCATTAAGTTTGAAATAATATGAAAACTAATTTTAACATTTCTAAATGGTTACTGAACTGTTATTAGGACCAACAAATATGATACAATGAATGGTGAAAAATAAAAACTGAGTTTATCTCATTGATGAATAAATTTGGAAAAAATGAAGATAAAGTAAACTGAAGGTGTGGGTAGGATTTCACAATTCCAGCTTGAAAAAAAAGTCTTCCAAAAGAGAATTCAAGATGTTGTCAGGTGAAGTACTGCATATGGTGAGAAGAAATTTTTAATACTTGGCAAAGAACATCTTCTATAGACATTAACCTAAATTATGAGCAGTGGAAGCAAAGAGTAAGAAATGTCATTGATGACTCATGCATTTGTTGTATTAAAATAGGGTAGAAAAATCAACTAACTGAACATGGGGCCATTCAATGATACATACATATATTGGCTGGAGACGGCTTGAATGAGTAATGAAGAAAAACTTTAATATAAGTTTAACACAACCTCAAATGTACAATGTTTCGACAAGGTTTTGTCATCATCAGGTACATATATTGATTTTTTACATATTTCCTCATATTTGAACCAAAGATCTGTTACATGCCAAGTAAGTGCTCTACCAACTAAGCTAAAGCTAAAATATAATGAGACATCTTTATGTATTCCATTAATTATACAACACAATCAAGGCCTTAAATAGAATTAAATTTATCAATTTTGAAACTTTAAAAAGGTCGTATCTCTGACTTTCACAAACTGATAAAGTTTTAACCATAGTGTGACACCAGTTTGAGGATTGTGTTTGGAGTCACTGCCAAGAATTAACAAAAGAAAAACAAGGAAACATCAATAAAATGGTAAACTTCTTTTTTGTTAATGTTTTTACCATTAAATATGAGATACTCTAGCCAGGCCAATTTCATTTAATGGTATGTACGGTTCTTCCTTAAATTCTGTTTAATTGAAGAAACAACTGTTCTAGAAGAACTTGAGAATGACAAGATTTACCTTAACTGTAAAACACTGACAAAGCTTAGCAAGCAGACAGTGAAAATCTTAACAGTTGTTTCTGATGTCTCCTAACACTATGGAAATTTTTTACTAGAAAAATATTAATGTTTTAAAGTAGTGTCTAACAAGGATCTGTAAAACTTCATGTATAGTACCAGTCTGACTTGTGGTGTTATCAAAATGTTGAGATCTGTCAGAAATCACTTAGTAAAAGATATGAAAAACTGATTTTCAGCATGTGTTTAGAAATGGTTATCCTTCCTTAACTATTTTTATGGAGTTTTTCACTAGGACCTTCACCTTTTTTGGATGATGGCATCTAAGTTATGTATACCTTGACTGTTACAAAATGTTTGATACAGTTCTTCACAATAAATATAAGTTGAATGCTTTTCGATTTGGTATAAAATTCAAGAAGTGGATAAAACTTGGCTTAATAAATTCAGTAAAAAAGGAGCACCAAATAATGTCTATCTAAGTTGTGGAATAAAAAATTTAGAAATATGAACTTGTATATTGGGGGTAACATAAAAGCTTGTTCTTTAATGAATTATTCAGGATGTGGTATCTAAATCACTACTGCAGATATTTGTTTAAAAAGCAGATCTGTATGTTAAATTACGTGTTGCTAGGGTAACAAGAGATAAAATTATTATTTTATTTTCTTGGTACAATGGTAGTTTCTTACAAGTTCAAGTTGCATACTTTACTCAGAAATGTTGAAGTTAATTTCCATCAATGTTGTCACCGTGCCTATTTAGCATAGAAACAGTTACTATGAGTCGAGTTACAACTTACAGTGGATGTTCTGTTGTCAGTCGATCGTCCTACTACTAGTACTATTAAAGATTGAAATCAGCTGTTAGTGTTTTTGTTAATCAGCGTTAGATTATTAGTAAGGCCTAAATTTAAAAATGAGAATAGGCTACTGTCCAGTTACTCCAGTATCGCCATATTTGAAATTGAGTGTCACAAATTTAAACACCAAAGTTCTTTAAAATCTATTGTATACTTAATATTTAACTATAAATTAAAAACTAGTGCCTACGTACAACATCACAAGATGTACTTGCAGTTAAAAAACAACAACAAAAAACGGATAAATTTTAAACCACGTGTAATAATAATCGAAAGTGAGGGCATTGTGTGAAAACGAGTCACTAACCTCGCCATCGAAGGTATCCTCTTTTGTTTTCGTTTTTCCTAAAACGCGATTTAAATAAAAGTTGGTATGTCTAAAATAGAGAAAAGTATGTTAAGTTTGATAGAAAAATATTAAATTATCGACAATTTTGTATGAACTTGATATTTTTTATTCATTCATTTTAGTAAAAAAAAATATTTATATTCTTAGTTTCTTCTAACCGTTCAAACATCACGCCACACTTCCTCGTACGATGGTGTGATTACATGCGACTAGCGTGATTGCATAGGCTTAGGGATTTTGACCTTGAGACAGGTCCTTTTAAGTATAACATGAATCCAAGGTGAGTGAAATACCAACAATTAATGTATACTTATCTTAAAAACTGGCATAGTATTTTCTTTTAAACATTACAATTTTAAATCAGTTTTATTAAGTAATTACTAAATTAGGGCTGTATCCGGATTTTTATTAAGCATGAAATCTATATTTGTTTCAGTTGGAACAATATAAATTTAAAACAATTTGTTAAATTTATTTTACTCATTATGATATTTATTTATAATTGGCGTCAGCATTTAGGCATATACTGATTCCTGTTTATTTGCCGGTTGTTGTACTTATGTACTAGTAATAGTAACACTAGACAGCAGACACACTGTCAGTGTCTGGTAAAGTGCTAAACAAGTACTAGCAACTACTACAATGTCATTATTTCCGGTATTTTTATGACGTAATATGTAACGTGTGGTAGATGACAAATTATGGAAGAATTACAATATATATATATATAGTTGGTGGAGATATTTCAGGTTTTGTAAAAAAAAAGTAAAGTAATAGCAAATAATCGTAAATGAATGCACACATAAAATCGAACTGTTTTGTTGTATATTCGCGGGTAATATCCACAAAGAAATTCTCGCAAAGCTCTGATCCTTAGATGCAACAAACATACTAACATTGGCGGGTACATACGTAGCACGTGTAATATTAGTGATGTGATAACTGAATAACATAAAAAAGATATAACGGCTTGAATATGAAATCTTTGAAAGAAACCTTACACACGTGATTCTGTCATTTACATTCATATTTTTGTCTTTAACGATTTGCTTATCGTTCGATGATAGCGTGATCAGCTAAATTCAATAATTATATGATATATTCAGTTTCTAATTAACTATTTTAGTTTTAAGTCTGACCTCGTTCTCTTAACACTAATCTGTAACCAGGTTAATGTTGCTAAAACGATAATTTTTATACTGAAGGGGCGATTTGTGCATTTATTATTTAATTAATATACAGTAACACAAAAAGAACCAAGCTTAATATCAAGCAAGTCTTTAGAAGTTGAAGTAAGTATCTTTTTTTTATGTTTCTTTGTCTATAATTTATAAAAATATTGAGGAGAATTAATAAAACTTGGCTATTTTTACCAGTTACTAGTTGTGATAGACTAATATTAGACTTAAACTGTTAAAGAGTGTGGACTTGTGATACTGATAGGGTGGCACACAGAAGATTGACTAAGAAAATTACGTTGGGAAAAAACTATTAAATTACAGAGTGGCTGGGTGAGAGGAAATTCTCATTATTACATTTGGAGTCCAGTCAAACTGAACCTTTATTACTACAAGTGTAGTATTAAGTACCAGTAGTAGTGATATAGCTCATGGATTAATACTTGGGCTTTGTGTTATTGATAGGGTTATAATTACTAAAGTTTACTGATGACATTAAATTCTTTAGGTTTAGGTGTTTCTAGCTGTGTTGAGGCACTACAGAATGGTTTTTATATTATAGATTTTTAGACAACTACTTGGCAAATTACATTTAATTATAGTAAGTGCAAGGTAATGCATTAGGTTCATCATAATTTGGATTACACATTTAACATAGAATAGGGATAGGTTATCTAATGAAGATAAGATAAAATATCTTAGTTAACTTATTTTATAATGATTATAATATAAACTCTGTGCACTTGTCTGATTTTCTTATATGCATGTATACAAGTAAATTAGTAAAACATGCTTTTTGTTTTCCCATGATAAACCGTTAGTTACAAATAACAATGAATTATGTGATATGGTAACTATGGCTTAATATTTAATAATTGAACTTTTTAAGAGTATCAAGTTTTTATTTGTATATTTTGAATTGTGTTTATAATTGTAAGTTGATGTGTTTCAAAAAAGAATGAGGATGAAGTTTGAAGGTTGTTTCTGATGCTTCTGAATATTGGCATGATAGTGTGGTATATTCCGGTAAGATTGATTATTCCTAGAACAATGGGATCAGTCTTCATAATAACAGGAGTTTCAAGAAGATATTTATTATGAAGTAATTCTGAGTTCTTTGACTTTGAGAAAGAAATTATAATAAACGCAATTTAATGGATGTGGGTTATCATAATTTGAATTATCTGTATAATTTGGATGGAAATAACCATAACAGTGTCATGAAAGAAAGGGATCTTGGTGTTGTAATTGTTGATCAGTCTCTTAAGCCATCCAATCTGTGTGCTGTTGTTAGTGGTAGGGAAAATAGGATTTTAGAAATATTGAACACAAGTCTAAAGAGGTTATAATTTCATTGTATAGGTCACTGGTTAGGCTGCATTTGGTGTATAGTGTTCAGTCTTGGGCTCCTTACCTTAGGAAGGATGCTAAACTGTTGGTAAGGGAGCAAGGGAGGGTTACTAGAATGGTGCCTGGGATGAGGAGTTGTCATGTGAAGAAAGATTAAAATCTCTGAAATTGTTTTCTCTTGAAAAATGAAGAGTTAGAGGGAGATCTGATTAAGGTATTTAGGATTGTGAAGAGAATTGATAGTGTTGATGCATCATCTTTTTTCATACTTAATGGTGAGAATTGTAGGTATATGGGACACAAATATAAATTTTGGTAAGGTTGGAGTCATCTTCAGCTAAGATAGTTTTATTTTTTGTAAAAGGGAATGGGTTACCTTCAGATGTTGTGTAGGCAAGTGAGTTTAAGAAAAGCTTGATAACTATATGAATGATAAGGGCTGGAATTACAATTTTTTTATATTTTATTTATTTAATAGTTTTAGTTTAGTTCAGAGGATGGGATAGCCGAGATGGATCAATAGGTATGTTGTTGTCCCCAAACACTGTTATATGTTAGGATGAAGGACTGCACAGTCATCTGTCTAAACTCTCTTGAAAATAATGTTTAATAGGAATTAATATTACAGGTTAAGTTTTAGGAAAGTATCACTATTTGAAAGAAAGGACATAAACTTTACTTACCAAACTGAGGACTTAAGCTAGAGAAAGCAAACCAACAGGGCATAGTATTATATACTAAATTCTATAATTCTATATTCTCAGAACACTGCCACTCATGTTACTGTTGGTCAATCCCAATTGAAACATAAGGAAGTTCGTAATCTTGAGATATCACCTGACTTGTCATTGGAGGATACTGCTATCAACATCCTTGCAAAATGTGCAGCATTATAGCCATACTCACCAAAGGCCAAACAGGTGTTATCTCCAGTTACTTGTATAATGTGGATTGTATCTGGAGATTTGTGGATTTAAAACCATTAAATAATATAATTTCACTATGGATTTCTTTGGTTCTTAAACTTGTAAGGTTATAGAAGTTGTTTGAGTTGATAGTATTAGTTTTTATAGGCATCTGTCACATGACTGATTTTTATTTGTTGTATTTACACAACTGAAAAATAGCTACTTATCAGCAATGGCTATATGCATATACTCAACAGGTTTTTGCTTCTGAATGTGGTTTATGCATCTATGTTTCTTTTTTTTTGCCAGTTATAAAGAATAATTATACAAAAAGTTCTATCAATTCTAACTATATGCATCATAAATTTATTTTATTTTTGATCTGCTATTTGTAACTGATCTTGTTTACAGGTATTGTTTGGAAAATAGTACAGTCATTCTAAGATAAAATAAAGCCAAACCTGTCACTAATTGCAACAAAAGATATTTCAACTGTTTTCTATCCAGAAAAATGTACTCTTTGATATATTAAAAGTCTTATTGTATTGGAAAATTTGCAAAAAATGAAGTGGCTGCCATCTATAATACAAATAATCCTAACTTTGCACCCAGTAAATATAGACTGATAATCTAAGACTCTTTGTTTGCTACAATTATATCTGATCATGCCTGTCATCACAGGGATAAATTGTTCTTTACAAGCTCTCCATACCCATTCTTCTGGTAGTGTGTTTCCCACAGGTCCCTTCCAATATTGAATATAGTAGTTGTATGTAGACTGTGGTACTTTGCTGGAGCTAATATACAAGTAAAACTCTGTGGCCAAACTTATAAACTCTTGGTGGTAATTTCTTGTGAAATCACTTGTTTTGCAGAACATCAAGCCCTTCCTCAGGCTTACCATTATACAGATGGGCCACAGCTGTAAAGGTGAGAAGTATTGTCATGCCCCAGAATAGCATGTTTAAAGAGTATATTGGTGCAGATATATAGTTCTTGCTGCTCCTTTACTGCCTTTATGTTCTACACACAATGCTTTTTTGAAATTTTTTTCATTCAGGCTGGAAGAAAAAAATCATGAAGCAGGCCTGTGTAGTAGCAGAACAGAATCAGTAGGCCTGACCTTTGCCTAGAAGCACAATGTTGATTCTCATTGCTGACTCTACTGCTGTTTGCAAAACAGAGGAGATCCATATCTTGAGCTTGATGAGTCTGTGATTTGTTCATTTGCAAGTATCCACTGAGACTATTGATAAATCATTGCTTGTTTGATTAGTTAATTAACAATTCATTTTTCTTCATTATGTCACATGTCATCAGTGAATGTCTCATGGCTGCTCGAACTTTCCCTCCCATACTTCTTTGGTCAGTAGTATCCTTTGTGGATGCACTGTTATATCCATCGAACAAGTTAATTGCCTATCCATATTTTCTCATAACATAAACTGTGTACAGAATAAAAATATCCCTGTTTGTAACTGTCATGCCCCCCTGGCAACAGGATACAATGAATGAATGCATCACCATCTAGCTCATACTGACTTTACCTGTTGCCACTGGAACATGTGATGTTAGTTGAGCCCAAATTGCATCTGAAAGCATTGGCTTCTGTGGCTCTTGAAGCATGAGTGATGAGCCAAAAAGTGCTGGTGAATGATTGTACAATTCAGATTTTAACATTGCCTCAGTCTTGGTTAATGCTTTTGCTGTAAATATGAGTCATTGAGGGTCCATCTGAACTCTTTCACTCCTGATCTTCAAAAACTGACCATGATAGACCATTCCTATGTATTGTATTTTGCTTTCATTCAATTTCTACATAACAAAAATGTCATAAAAAGCTT